GAGACGACGTCGTCACCAGGGTCAAACCAAATATCTGGTGAAGTGGCGGGGATATCCCAACTCCGAAAACTCGTGGGAGCTTGAGGCGCCACTTCGGCAAATTTGCCCAGTCGCCGTGGATGCTTTTGATCGGGAAGGTTAGGACGTCCCGCGCTTCCCGGGAATAGTCAGGGAAGTAGACGGGCCATGAGCTGAGCTCAAGCAGTGGCCCTGAGCTCGTGTGGTCGAAGACACAGAGCTCGCGGGAGCATTAGGGGTTAACCCATACGCTGCAGGGCGACACTCCGAAGGAAGTCGACGGCGTGCCTTGAGTATGGCAATCTCAAAGCGGAGGTGTCGCTCCAAACGCACGTTCACTTCCTTGTGGCTCAACTGTAGATTATACAGTGAGGAAAGTTTTTGGTGCCGTGCACCCATCGCTCAAAGAGCGCTTCGTCATCTGTAGCGCTTTCGCCAGGGGCAAGCACTACAGGTATCGTTCGCATTGCGGGTACTTGAGAGCCACCTCGTTGAGCACTCCGACGAGTGCGATAAACGTCTGACGGAATTTCTTTTGGGATCAAGAAACGAGCTCGAAGAGCTTCCCGTGTGGCAAGTGCATCTTCCGTTTTGGCCGAGGGCCCGATGATGTGGACGCGTAACGATCGAGGTACCGCGTCCTTCGCTTCCACAGCGCGATCCGCAGGGCAAAAGCCATATTCCACACGAGGGTCAATGACCCGCCGTGGATGGGCGCGCTTTAGAGCTGCCTTATGGGCAGCTTCAAGCTGCCGCCTTTGGGCCCCGTCGAGGTCATCGGTGATTACTACACGTTCCTCGGTTGATGAGAAACCAGGGAGCGGACATGGGGTCCGCAAGGCACGAGCAGGGCTCGTGGCGGAGCTCGCCTTCCTCGTCATCCCAAGCGGGAAAAGGAGTGTAAGACTCGTAGTCGACCACCTCCACATCCTCAACGAGGTCACTCGTCATTAATAGTGTGCGCAAAGCGCTACGCTCGTACTCATCAAGCCTAGGATA